TATTACAATTATAATAATTAAAAAGATATAACAATCTAATAAAGTGAACAGGTTGTTAACCTTTAAGTAGTATATCTAGAGTTCAAATTTTAGTATTAGTAAAAACTTGCAATTCTTTCTATATTATGGTTAACTGTTTTTTGAAATTGGTTAGAATCAAATACCTGTTACCTATATCATATTAGCATAACTAAAAGGTTACATGTTATTTATATAACCTTGTACAAAGAAACACAAATCAGTACTAGATAGTATAAACATATAATAAGTCTTCATAAACATGTAAATTACAGAAACCAGAAAGATAAAAGCCTATTTGGAAAAGCTGAGTAGAAAGTAACTTGAACTTTTGATAATACTACTATAAAAACTAGCTTATAAAATAGTTTAGAATCTGTAAAATTAGGTAAAAACAAGTTGATCTTTAAGAAGAGGTCATTATAATTAGCTAAGTTACTAGAATCTGTTTTAAAAGAAAAGGTTGTATGCTAAAGAACATGTAAACTAGAGGTATAGTTATACTTACCTTTCTGAGCTATTTGGACTAAGAGCTTGATAAAACTTAATTTAAATACCAAAGTAGTAAAAATATGTTGTAAAGTAAGTACTAAAATTGAGATAAATTCTACAAGAGCATAATGATTAAATAGTGTATACTGACCACAAATATTAGTCTTGATCATAATGTTATTAGATCAGCTGTAAGAATAGGATACAGAAAATTTTAAAAGGTTTAGTACAAGGTCAAAGATTCTTATATAAGCAACTGTCTTAAAGACTTAGTGATTATAACATATTTGCATTAGTATTAACTAAAGCATCTTAGTAGATGTAGATAAGTTGGATGAATACAAAAACTAGAGTGTTTAAATAAAGAACTTATAAGCAGGTTTCAGATATAACAGCTAGTATAGAATCTTTGGATAGTTTACTTAAATTAGACAATAACTAAAATTATACAAGTAGCTAGTTGTATACTTTTTTTATAATTGCTTTTTGTAGTTATAATGCAACTATTAACTAAATATACTATTAATAAAATCTTATTTCACAAGTACACATTTTAATATTTAAAAAAATTATAATAATTAAGCTAACAAATAACCTATTATCAACTAAATATTATTGTTGACAAGTAATAGCTAATTATTTGAAATTATAAAATAAATTTTATTATCTCTTTTATTTTATTATAACCTAACAGGTACTGATAAATTCTATATAATTTATTATTAATAAAATATTCAAAACAAAAAAAAATATAAATTACTTATTAATAGTTTTAACTGAAATTGTCATCTAAAATATTTACAGTTCAACTATTAATTCTATATTGTAAATTATTTCTTATAAATAAAAATTTTACATCCTTACATTTTATAACAATAAATTAAATAATTTTCTTTTTCAAATTAATGCACTCATTATTAATAAAATCTTTATAATATTAGGTTAATATTTAATATATATTTTTGAACCTTTTGAATTTCTACATAAAAAAATAATTTATTTAAAGATATAAACATTATTCTAGTAGGTGACTTAGCATAATTACCTCTAGTTTCTGGTTTATCTATTTACTAATCTCCAATATAAAAACTTTTTTATCTGTTATTTCATTAGTAATCTCAAAGACAAAATCAAGACATCAAATTTTTCAACCTTCTACAAAAATCTAAATAAGTAAAATTAATAATAAAATATAGCATTTATTATTTTAAAAAAACAATACACTCTAATCATCTAAATTAAATACTACTCTAAATACTATATAGGATACAAAAAAAATACTAATCTAATTAATAAACTAATATGTATATACTATAATTCTTATTCAAAAAACAAATTATAATCTCAAATTTTATTGACATTATCAACAATCAGGTATGTAATTATAATTCAAAATGTAATAATTTCAAAAACAAAATGAATTTATTTAAATCAATTTGAATCTAACCTGATGCAAGGGTTATTTTTTTAAATAACTCACAACACCAACTTTAAATAGCAAATAACACTATATGTATCATTACAAAACTTAATTTAAACTCAAATGTTAGCTTCTGTATAGAATAAACTATAATAAATAGTTCATATTCTAAATTTACCCATAATTTAATATAAACAGCATACCTGTTAGCTGCACTCAGTTTTCAATACAAAACATATTCATCTTAACCATTCATAAAACATAAGAACTCACATGTCCTGATGTATCATTAAATCTAGATAATCAAATATTTGCACCCAGATAACACTAAGTCATTGTACTAGGTGAGACCAAGTAAAAATACATTTATTAGATCATATCACATCTATAACAGATTAATTAATGATAAAAGAATATGAATATTTAGAATGAAAAACCCATGAAACATTACCATTAAATAGACCAAGTTCAGATTTTTTTAAACTTTTTTTTTTAAAATTACATATATATAAACCCTCCTAAATATTTCAATTTCATTAATAATAGTAAAAAAATAAAATGAAAATTAATAAAAAATAAAGAAATATATTTAAAAACAAAGATCATTTTTTGAAATTTTTTGATCTATGACATCATTACAACCCTAATGACTCTAAATCAGGCAGCGAAGCCACCTACGTGTGCTACTCTAGTTGATACATAAAATTAATGCACATACACTTCTTTTTATTTGTATATATCAGTATGTGTATCCTTGATTTAAATTTTTTTTGCTATTGGTAGTTCTTACTATTCCTTGTCACAATAAATATATAACCACTATTAACCATTCTTTAAACAACATAAACAATTTAGCATTATTTGAAAAACTTGGACAAATCCAAGATTATAAACAAGGGTGTGCTAAATGTATGATTATTTAAAATATATTATTTTAACAAGAAATTATATTTCTAGTGATATATTTATTTTTATTTTTATTTTTATTCTTCATAAAAAATTAAAAAAAACTCTACTATATTCCGCGAACCCTGCGCAGAATTTTTTAAAAAGCGATTTGCCCATCACTAGTAATTTCCATATGCAATTCCTAATTACACAACTATAGTTTGTAAAGTAATGTAATAAGCTCGCATCTATAATAATACGTATACAAATAAGTAATCAATATGATGCATATAAAAAGAAATATCCAATCAAAAGCACGTATTTGTACAAAAACACTTAACTTGCCACTTAACCATACACTCTATTTCTGGTAAAAAGGATAATTATTTAAATAAATTTTATTACGTTACCTTTCAACAGTTTCGTTACCTTTCGACAGTTTTGTCACCTTTTAACAGTTTCATCATCTTTCATCAGTTTCGTCACCTTAAACATTTTCGTCAGTTTCGCCATTTCGTCTTTCGTCAATGACGAAGCTCTTAGATTTCGCCTAACAACATTAATTTTGACTATTAAAGTATCTGCAATATCTACATAGTTTATAAAAATACATCAATAGCGGCATAAGTTATACTGAATACCGAATTAGGAAGACCTATATCGCATATAATTAACTTTACAGTTCAATGTAGTCATGTGAATTAGGATTCCACACCATGGAAAGTCTAAAGATGATTTTCATTAAGTTAGAAAGCTGTTAAAATTACTTGAGCAGACAAATATTTTGATTTACCAAGCGTATTTTATCGGCTCCCCGATAACAATTATATTGAAGTTTGCTAAGCTTTTTTTTCTATTAATGACACACTTATATTTTGGATAACCTAAAAAAATTAGGTATTCAATAAAATTTTACCTTATTCAAAATACATATACATATCACAATTATTACCTTTATGCTTTGCGGTTATAAATCTTTTAACATTTTCTTTGTAAGTACTTATGTACAGAAAATCGTCAAGAAACTGTAGCATGAGTTATAAATTTAATTTTTAGCTATGAACACTAACCCTTCGAAATCGATATATTCACTTACGCCATCATAATGCTTCACAAAAGGAAGTACTTCCCATTCCATTTCACTATGATAAAAGCTATGTATTAAATGATTATAAGTCATCAATATATAAATATCAAGAAAAGAACCAAATTATACAATTGTATCAATACGAACCTAAAAAGCCGTGTCGATACAACTGACCCTTGTGAAATACCAGTACACTGCCTATAATACTTTTCTCCATTCTATTAAAAAACATAGCATATTGCATTTTCTATTGCAAATTACAGGAAATGAGTGCTGCCAGGGGATAAGGCATAACGGATTTTCAATTATATTTTGTATTGGGAAAGACCCCAAATAAATTAGATAAACATGTCTGGCACAAAATATAATCCAAAGTCGGATGCTCATTTTACCTTGAAAGCACTCCTATAATATAGCAGTTTCGGAATCATACTTTTATTAAATTATAATTGATATGCTTTTCTCGTTATCGTTATAATTATCGAAAATAGATATGATCAGCAAATGCCACAACTTTGACTTCTTTTTAGTTCAATTCACACAATTGGCATCAAAAATGTTATGACCAAGAGACTTTAATACTTCAATGCCAATTTAGTTATTGGTTCATAATCATTATAACTTTTAACTAAATGATCTCAGAATTCTTTTTTCTTTTTTTCTTTTTTTACTAATTAAAAATATTTTTTTTATGAATTACTACTTAAAAATAAAAATTCTAATGATTACTCAGTGGTTAACGGTTTCTACAGTGGCATAACATCTATTTGTTTATTAGATCATATAGTTAGTTTGTCAGCTAGGCAAAATAAAGTTTCTTTATTTAAATTTTATAAACTTTAGGCGAAATTATAGTATCTATTTTTAGAATTTAGAATCCTAAACATCAAAACTGATCAAGCTAATACGTATTGATGCATTATTTAGTTTTTAATATTAAAATTAAGTATAAAAATATATCGATTATTAGATTTTAATATTAGAATTGGGTATAAAAATTAACTGATATAATTTTTATCTAATCACAGGCTTATATCATATTAAACTCTAAATTCCCGATTTTCAGATTTACAGTAATTTGAAAAGCGCTTTAAATTAACATTGACTAACACTACTACAATGAGCAATACCACTTTCAATGTCAGAGCTTGGAGTAATGATGGATGATGAACAAGTAACATCGGATGTGCCCACAGCACATAAAGCTTCACTACTAAACATCCATGAATGGCAACTTGAATCTTTAGTACAATAAATGCAACAATCCACTGCATTAGTAATATTAACAGGCTCATAAGAACCCAAAAGAGCTAAGCCATTCCACCCTGGACCGCCACGTGATTGGCAACACTCTGGAGTTGGAGTTGATGTTGAGCATTTGGGTTTTGTAGGCGCAGTAGTATGTTTATTATCATATTTGTTAATATGTTTGTTAATATATTTATGAAAACGAGCATCAACAGTAATAGATGATATAAGTAAAATTGAAAGAACAATTAGAAAAAGATTAAAAGTTTGGAGATTCATATTGATTAAATTGTATTCTTTAAAATAAAATTTTTCAAAATTTATTAAAATTTCAGAATTAAAATTTTTTAGCGCTTTATGCTTGTATAGAAAAATTTTAGTTAATTTAAATGGTTTAAGTACATTACAAATGTAAACGCACGTACAGTACGTATACATTCTTATGAAGTTAATCTGTTCAGTCATTAAAGCTTGCAGACCATGCAATGCATGTTATATAACTCAATAACTGATGAGTTTCTTGATTGGATGTTATTATTTTGAGAAATACCGTAGAGCATTGCATATAGTACTATTTATATAATTTTTAGACATCACTTTATACTTGGTTAAATTAGGTCTATTTAAATAATAAATACTATCTAATTGCATAAAGCATAATTTTTTTAATTGCATAATGCATCTGGTGTGAACGGGAAAGATCGTCGGATCGGTCGCTCCAAAATCGAGTACGTCGTATAACCACTTTGGGTTAATATCGGATCGAAAGAGGCGTGTTAGATTTGGCGAGTGGTTAACGGGGGTTTACTTAATGAAGGAGAGTTTCGGGTTGGTTATTAGGTGAGTGTACTAACGTAAGTTAGTGGTTACAAGTTAGGGACAGATTATGTATTAGCGAACGTAATAGGTACTAGTTTATGTTTAAAGGCGGGAATTGTCTTCTTTTTCCGAAGGGCCTATTCGGCCTTTATTTATAATTAAAATCTTCTATTTACATTATGCAATGGATACGACTGATATCTCTGATACTACCAATCAGTCGTATCCTACTGATTTCACCTAAGAGACCCAAAAGACCGATCGCTGCTATCCATTGCATTCGTCACATGCGTTACATGCGACGAATGCGACAGATGCGATCGATCTCTTTTCCAAATTTAGCGATGGACCCCAACCGGCCAGGGTCCCACACTGGTTCCTAATGATAAATACATAATTTCTTTAATTGTATAATGCATAAATTTGTATTTAAACAATAATAAAAAATTTTGGTTGGTTAATTTATCATGTAGTATGACTAGTATATCAAAAGCTGATAAATGTCCGATTTATCTGGCCAGTAGATTGTTTATTTTTTTAAATATGCTGAGATATGTAGTGTAGCCAAATAGGAAACTTTGGGAAACTTTGATAGGATATTGCTAACAGACATTTCATGAAATGTCGAAGTAGAGTGTCCTCCGCAATGCTTCGAACAATAAATAGATTTAATTGAATGGTTTTATTTTACACAAAATTTTAATAAATAGTATTTCTAGTTGCATATACCGCTTAAATACCCGTCCATGGTTTCTGCGCATTTAAGCAGTACCAACCGTAATTAACCAAACAGATGATATTTACTTAATAATTAATCTAATGCTTTAGCATGTGCCACATTAAAAATTAAGGGTATATAGCAAATTGGACGAACATGTGGAAATCATGATAATATGTACAGTTTGTAAAAAAAAAAAAATCTTTCGAGACAAAGCTAATTTTCCTATAATCTCACACGAAAAAAAGAACAATGCTCGCACTTGCCCTAACCCTAAACATTGAAATGGGGATTACTTGTAAAGGATTAAGTCTTCTCTTTCATTTGGCATGTGGATGTGACGAATCATCATGTGACGAGTAAGCATTAGCTAAATAATTATATTAAATAATGCTTATTAGCCACACACAATGATTCGTCACATCATTGTGATAAATGGATAATGGACTTATAAAAATTAATTTTACAAACCTAGGTTAGCCGTACGTTTTAAAAGGGCAGATCGATCCGATAGTATTGCGATTGCTGGTGTGGTAAAATTCATGGAATTCGGGTAATTCAAAGAGTAGGAAAAATAAGAATAACGAGAAAAGTTAGAATAGCTAGAAGAATTAGAATTCGCGTTTTTCCTATATATTTAAGGTTTATTGTATAAATGGAGTTTCCTCTAGAAATAAAAGATAACTCTCAGAGTTCGAGACCTTCAAAAACATTTAAGTAGAGGTGTTTGGCTCTACAAATTCCTCCAATAAGTAAATTGTGCATGAAGAGTCCAATCCAGTGATCCTGAATTAGAGACTAATTCTTTCCACGCCTCGGTCGTTGCCATACCAATATTAGGTTCAACTAGAGTGGTTTGAATGTATTTAGCGTTGTGTGGTAGGGTAGTACCAGTGTTATCCAGAACCAGAGGATTTTTGCCTTTCTCAATGTACGTACTATGCTCAATTTTTGTACGTCTGTAATTACCTTAAAATTTCGGGCGTTGCTTTTGCCCTTTACTGTACGTAGTTAACCTAAAAAAAAGCTTTCTCAAGCGTCTTAATCAACGGGACAAAAAGCGTCGGAGAATAAATTTTACTTAGCTGAAAATATTTTAAGGTGTTTAACATCATAATTAATTTAATAAAGTTTATTATATTTTTTATTAATCAAAAGATAATACGTGAGTTTATCCTTTCAATTTATAAACATTTTATGGCAGACCACGTTTTTTTTTATCCCTGGCTTGGCAAAATTTACAATTAATTGCGCTTTCAATGAGATTGCACAAGCAACTTTATCAGTAACCTAATCATGCAACGACCGAATATCAACGAAATAAACGTAGTGATAACGGCATTTGATAAAATATCGCTCAAGCATCAATTGCGATTCTTATTTTGATTGATTATAGTAAATGAGCATCGTCGCGTTTATTAGCTAATCGCATAAAGAATAACGTTTGAGCAAACTTCAATTACTTCTTAATTTGCTTATTCGTTTCATTATGCGTAAATATAATTATAGTTGTGCACGATTAAGATCGCGAGCCAATCACGTCGAGGTTGAAGGTGAGTACATCCAAAATGATAAAAATCCAGAATTTAATATTATCCAGCAGCTTACTATGATTTATCTGCCCAATAATTTTATTATTGGGCAGAAATGAAAGTTTAAAATAGTTTAACCTTTGCATCCACCCAATAATTTTAGGGGAATTTACAGATAAGGGCCAAAAATGAAAATAATTACAAATAAGGGCCCAAAATAAAAATAATTACAGATAGATGCTTAAAAACCTATGATTTAGCCCCGTTTTGTTAATTTGAATATGATCGTAATATAATCATTGATTGTTAATGCATAAGAAATGTAATAATTGTTCAATAAACACCGAGGGCAGACCTCACTCTTAAAAAAAAAAAAAAAAAAAATGTAATAATTATCAAATAGTAATTCGAATATAAATTCCAATGCACAATAAAAAGGTATATTCGATTCGTCAACCTATTCATTATTCACGCTGTAAATTTACTTCATTATATATATTTCTTAAAACCTGTTCATAAATGTTAAATATGAAGTTACAGATCGGTATGACTTTTGCAAACTTGGAAATTGTTCATTCGGCCTTGGACACTTATTTTGTTGAATTCTAAGTTAAGAATGAACAAATCAAGTAAACTGTCATTCTGTTGAATTCTAAGAATGAACAAACCAAGTGAGTTGTCGATTATTTGTTTTACAAATGAACCTGTTCATACCATTTTACTATTTCAGCCAAAGCATAAAGATGGTCCAACTTGTCAACTTTTATGGATACATTCAAAGCACGAGATATAGCAATACTTCGATCTTGTGATACTGAAAATCGGGTTCATTCTAAAAGTAGGACCAAGACATCATACATGGTAGCTTGGAGAAGTAAACACGTTAAGTCACACAAAGCTAATTTTTCATTTTGCTTCACATGGATTTCAAAATCCAGTCATTCGGTCGGAATTTTTTTTTTTTTACGCTAAACTCTATAATAGCATCCTTGGTTTCGAGAATTTTGTGCTTAAATAAAGGTTAAATGTCGTTAAATGTCATATGTATTAGATAAGTTGGTTTTAAAAATTCGTGATTATAAGCAAATGAGATTATAGAGGAAGTGATTATAGAGAGGTCTTGTAATTCTAAATAATGGACGATGCCTCTAAAACACCTATTTAATCATGAAATAAGACAATCAACCATGATTTGGGCTAGTGATGGGCAACGCGCGGGATCTGCGCGGGATCCCGCGCGGGATTTTTAATATGAAATTATTCAGCCCACATTAGCTTTTCATCTGGCCTACATTACATC